ATATATATATTATACGGTTTTATATATATTTATATATATATATTTACTATATATATATATATATATATTATATATATATATATATATATATATATATTTATATATATATATATATGTATATATATATATTTACTGTTTATATATATATATATATATATATATATATATACTGTTTTATATATATATATATTTTGTTTTATTTATATATATATATATATATATATATATATATAACTGTAAAGGGTTAGGTAAATGAGATAACTGAGATATTAGCAACCGTATACTAGTGGGCTGGCGTTCATGTGCTGGTAAGCAAATAAATAATTACCAAATTTACCCAAATGTGTACATATAATATTGTTCAAAGTGGTGAAACACAGCTAAGAAATATGTATTAATAAATACACATATTCCAACGTTTGATGTGTCACTCGAGTTTACTTGGTTAATCGGGCACAAGATATCGCTTATATCTCGCTTATCTCGCTAGAACAATTACGACTTAGTAGTGAGTTCGATCCTCACTGGGTACCCCCTAATTCCGGCCTTGTGCCACATCTAAGCTACGCTTTGAAAATCACTATATCTCGTGCCCGATGAGTTGTTTAACCAACGAAATTCGTCTCGAACACCAAACGTTGGTATATGTGTATTTATTAATATATATATATATATATATATATATATATATATATATATATGTATGTGTGTGTGTGTGTGTGTGTGTGTGTGTGTGTTGTGTCTGTATATATATATATATTATAAATTAATTGATTTAAAATATGTTTTTTTTCGCTACACAGTTCTAACCATGTTTCAAAAATGGAAGCTAAAAGCTCCGAAGTTAATTTTGTAATCAAAGAAAATTTTTTTAAAAAATCCAGACGACATGCATTTAACGGATGTCAGAATTCATTGAAAAATACATCCCTACCCGCTACCAAAACGTAACTAATAACTGATACATCAAAATACAGCGATAACGAACACCCAAACACCCCTTGTCTGGGTGAATAGATTTCTCTGTATCCTTGGAAACGTGAATTATGATTTTTGCTGTGTCTTTAAAACCCAGTAATTTTAAAAGTTACGCCAAAATTCGCTTGAGGATGAAATGGAACTAACGTCTTTAATTTAATTACAAAATTAAATTCGGAGCTTTTAGCTTCCATTTTTGAAACATGGTTAGAACTGTGTAGCGACAAAAACACATTTTAAATCAATTAATTTATAATATTAATGCTCTGTAAATTTACATTAAGCACTATTTTGTAAAAATAAAAATATCTATAAGAACACCGGATTATATATTTTACTGTTCTTTTTTTTATATATATATATATATATATATTGATACTGTGTTGGTTGTAAGAGAGTGATTTTTTCATGTGGCTAAACATCAATTTTGTCAACATTTCTGGCGATGGGACAGACCGTATATTCGTATCATTAGTCTTAATTGTACATGAGCAGACTCAGTCGTAATTCGAACGTGGTCTGCTGATTTTATTTCCTATGTTCATGGTTGTTGCATAACTTTGTCAGTGAATTATTTAAGTAATGTTGTTATTGCAATTACAAATGCAGAAATATACTAAATTTCTTGAAAATCGGCACTCGAAAATTTAGATTTTAACTTGGCATGAACATCGTTTTGAGGCGATGGAGAAAATACGGAAATGTTTCATCCATGAGAACGAGCGATTAACAGAAAATGATAGTGTTATGGTAATTTACCCACGCACCCATGGACTCTCCCAGCTATAAATAGGAGCAGGTACTGCCTTTTGGAGAGAGAAGTTTCCAGCAGTCAGCTCTGAGAGTCGGACCGAACATTCTTGCTGTAATACTCTCGTTTGTATGTTAGTATTACTGTTTCTGTTAATATATTTGTTTAATTCAATTACTCTCTTTGAGTCTTTATTTCTGGCCCTAACAAGGCTATAGATAGATAGATAGATAGATAGATAGTGTTATGGTCCGGTTCCTTGTACCACGGTGATAGTCCAAGGTAGAACCAATGAGGAAGAACTCGAACACGGATATGGAATAACACAGATATATTACAAACAGGAATATATACAGAGAAGTAGAAAGTGTTAGTACGAACAATCAGGTTTAGTAGTAATTGTCTGAACGCGACTCTGTTTCGGACTGCCTCTGACTCGACTGACTGACTCGCTCTGACTGACTGACAGACTCCTGACAGTCTTCACTCCAGACTTCAGACTGAACTCTAGACTTTCGACGGAACAGTATTTAATCACCCCCCGCCACGAGGACATCATGTGGCAAAAGGCCGGTTTAACGTGGGATCTTCGAGCCCTTGGGCTCGGCCAAAAATATGTCCTTTGAACCCGTATAAACAGGTTCAGGGTCGGTTTACCTCCCCGAAAGAGACACCGCCGTTCGGCGTAGCCTCGTTCGGGTTCCTCCCCGCCCGAAGGCAGAGAGTTCAAGCGATCAGCCGGTCGCCCGAACTCCCTGCTTCCTCTTGAGGCGCAGTATTTATTACGTATGGAATAGTCCATTATGTTATTATGGGTAAGGTCCCATAACAGATAGATAGATAGATAGACTGAGGTGGGCTCTGAGATAGAAACGAGTGGCGTGCTGAACATGCTTTCGTCCTGATCCGCATGCTAAAATCTTATCAAATAACCAAATGGGAAGTAGTTCGTCTTTTCCAGGCCAAGAGCTTTTCAGTAGGCCCCGTAGATAGTTACATAATCCGAGAAAGAGTGATAGAAGCCGGGCGGTGCTGACAACTCTTCTGCCTTAGCCATAAACCAAAATGAGATCGAATGACCAACCATAAAGTTTTAGTGGCGAATAACTTCTTAAGACATAGAAGTTTTCAGCACTCCTTTGTAGATAGAAAGAAAGATATAAATAGGCAGATATAAAATGATAAAAAAGGAGAAGGGTGTTAAAAAAATGTTCTACCCGTTCCAATCCAAAATGTTATGAAATAACCAAAGAAGATTTTTGGTAGTGAAGGGCTTCTTGTTCGGCTCGACAACTTTTCAGCGCCCACGTGGGCAGATAGATACTATTCATTGATACGGCTTTATCAGCCATTTAAAGGTTATTTAAAGCCAGAATTATTGTCATTTTTTTGTGATAATAATGATTTAGTGATACAAGTCTTACTAATTAATCCATAGTTAGGTGGGGACAAGAAATGGATTCATACCTTTCCCGAGGGTAGTTGCACGTAAACGAATATAACGAACCCAACTTGAATTGGAACTTGGATCTTCGATTAACAATTCTGAGCCATTATTCATTGCAACGCGGTTAACCAACTATGCACTGATTAGTCCCTATGCTGCCTAAATTCGGTGATCGTAGGGGGGAACGGTGTTTCAGTGTGATGTGCTTGTAAGCATATATATATATATGAACAGGGTGAGATAGATAGATAGATAGATAGATAGATAGATAGATAGATATGAACAGGGTAAGATAGATAGATAGATAGATAGATAGATAGATAGATAGATAGATAGATAGATAGATATGAACAGGGTAAGATAGATAGATAGATAGATAGATAGATAGATAGATAGATAGATAGATAGATATGAACAGGGTGAGATAGATAGATAGATAGATAGATAGATAGATAGATGAATAGATATGAACATTGAGATAGATAGATAGATAGATAGATAGATGATAGATAGATAGATAGATAGATAGATAGATAGATAGATATGAACATGAGATAGATAGATAGATGAATAATGCAGAATTGAGATAGATAGATAGATATCAACAGGGGTGAGATAGATAGATAGATAGATAGATAGATGATAGATAGATAGATAGATAGATAGATATGAACAGGGTGAGATAGATAGATAGATAGATAGATAGATAGATAGATAGATAGATAGATATGAACAGGGTGAGATAGATAGATATGAATGGATAGATAGATGGATGGATAGATATGATAGATAGATATGAATAGATAGATGATATGATGGATAGATAGATAGATAGATAGATAGATGAATAGGGATAGATAGATATGATAGATATGAACAGATAGATAGATAGATAGATAGATAGATAGATAGATAGATAGATAGATAGAAATAGATGAGATAGATAGAACATAGTAAAGATAATAGGATGAACAGGATAGATAGATAGATAGATAGATGATTATGAACACGTTCAGATCGAATGATAGAAATTTCGGAGGTGCTGAAAAATATTCTGCTTAGACCACATCTTCAAATCTCATCAAATTGTCAAACAAGATTATTGGTGATGAAGGGCTTCTTGTTCGGGCCGAAAGTTTTTTCAGCACCCTCTCGTACACAGAAAGCTAAGATAATGTGATAGAAAACGAGTGTGGTACTGTAAAGTGTTCTGCCCGACCCACATCCTAAAATATCATCAACTCTCTAAGCATGACATTTTTGGTGCAGAAGAATCTCTCGTTCAAGCGGAGAACTTTTCAGCACCCCCTCGTAGATTGATAGATAGCTAGATTGCGGATTAAGTAATTTTTTTCCAGCAATTGAAAGCCTGGTGGTTCGATTAATAAGTAAGTATTTTGGCAGACATACGTTGCCTGAGCATTAATGGCAAAATTACATAAACAGTATTTCTGGTCTTTAAATTAATAGGTAGATAAGATGGCTACAGACTGAAAGCGACAGACAGACATGCTGCTAGATAGATAGATAGATAGATAGATAGATAGATAGATAGATAGATAGATAGATGTAAAATCATTCTATGACGTTTCTGGCTTTCTTTCTTCCATCACTGTCCGTGCAGTGTCTGGGGAATTTACGCGAAAAAGACCATCGACTAGAAACATACGTGTCTTCGACCCGTCACCACTATCTCGCCATCGCCACCGCCACCGCCACCGTTACCATATACTAGTCGACCTCCGCAGTTTTCGACAGGGCCCCATTGCAGAAGAACGGAATCGGTTTTGAAAAAGGAGCCGTCCGAGCCGAGGCCGCCCTCTGATGGTGTGCACCTGCCGTGCGAAGTGTCGGCCCAGACAAGATGGAGCCAAAAGCTGGCTTACCCCTACCCTAATCCCCCCCAACCGCAAGTCAACGACCCCCTCCTACCCGCTTCCTGCACCCACATCCCTCTGCTTTTTTCACGTGGCTCGGGGTTTGCCGTCTTAACTTTTTCGAATACAGGAACAACAGAAGCAAAATGTAAAGTTTGTTGATGTCGGTCCTTGTTTTTTTTTTTTTTTTTTCTTTTTATTTTTTTGGCTTCTGTCGCTTCGGTTCTGTCGGATTTATTTTTTAAATATTGAATATTTCTCTCACTCTTACTTTCTTTCTTTCTTTCTTTTCTTTCTTTCTTTCTTCGTTTCTTTCTTTGTTTCTTTCTTTGTTTGTTTGTTTCTTTCTTTCTTTCGATACTATGTTGATTGCTATTTTTATTTTCGCTTTTCTTTACTCCCGTCTATTTTCTTTCTATACTTCCTTTCGTTTTCCTCCTTTGTTGTATTTTCTCTTTTTTTCTTTCTTTCTTTCTTTCTTTCTTTCTTTCTTTCTTTCTTTCTTTCTTTCTTAGCCTCCTTCTCTATATATGCTTGTTTCTTTAAGCTCCTACATTTCTTTCTTTCTTTCTTTCTTTCTTTCTTTCTTTCTTTCTTTCTTTCTTTCTTTCTTTCTTAGCCCCCTTCTCCATATATGCTTGTTTCTTTAAGCTCCTACATTTCTTTCTTTTGTTTCTTTCTTTCTTTCTTTTTTTCTTTCTTTCTTTCTTTCTTTCTTAGCCTCCTTCTCCATATATGCTTGTTTCTTTAAGCTCCTACATTTCTTTCTTTCTTTCTTTCTTTCTTTCTTTCTTTCTTTCTTTCTTTCTTTCTTTCTTTCTTAGCCTCCTTCTCCATATATGTTTGTTTCTTTAAGCTCCTACATTTCTTTCTTTCTTTCTTTCTTTCTTTCTTTCTTTCTTTCTTTCTTTCTTTCTTTTTCTTTCTATTTTTATCGCCCCTTCTTTCTTTCTTTCATTTTTATTTTTATTTCCACTTCATTCTTTCTTTATATTTTTTTTTTCGTATACTTTCTTTTGTTTTCCTCCTGTCTTTTATTTTCTCTTCTTTCTTTCTTTTTTTTTTTTTCTCTTTTTCTTTCTTTCTCTTTTTATTATTTTCCCTTCTTTCTTTCTTTCTTTCTTTCTTTCTTTCTTTCTTTCTTTCATTTTTACTTTTATTTCGACTTCATTCTTTCTTTACATATTTTTATTTTCACGTATACTTTCTTTCGTTTTCCCCCTTTCTTGTATTTTCTCTTCTTTCTTTCTTTCTTTCTTTTTTTCTTTCTTTCTTTCTTTTGTTTTCTCTTTTTCTTTCTTTATCTTTTTATTATTTTCCCTTCTTTCTTTCTTTCTTTCTTTCTTTCTTTCTTTCTTTCTTTCTTTCTTTCTTTCTTTCATTCTTTCTTTCTTTCTTTCATTTTTATTTTTATTTCCACTTCATTCTTTCTTAATATTTTTATTCTCACGTTTTTTTTCATTCTCAATTTTTTTCTTTATTTCGTCTATTTTCTTTCTATTCTTTCGTTTATAGTCCTTCTTTCTTGTATTTTTCTTCTTTCTTTCTTCTTTCTTTTTTTTCTTTCCTTTTCTTTTCTTTCTTTTCTCTTTTTCTTACTTTCTCCTTTTTTATTTTCCCTTCTTTTCTCTTTCTTTATTTCTTTCTTTTTCATTTTTGATATGCTAAAATAAAAAAAAGAAGTTTCATTTAAATTACCCACTATTTCCATTACCACTAATTAATTTTCTCATTCTTGTCTTATTTCAACAAGTTTCTTCATTGAATTCCCCCGCTCATGAAAGGAACGCTAAAAAATAATAAATGAGCAACTCCCGACAAGACTTCAACTTGTGTTCTTATATAAAGAAGTTGTCTTTCATGTGTAATTCTTTAAGCAAATTCATCATGGAAACTTATGTCTAAAGAGGACAAAACTCTCGACATTTCATATCCAGAGATCATTCAACATAGAAAACTGTGATAAAAACCAGCAATGAAAAAGATTCATAGGAAAACTAGTAGCAAAAATAAATCTCAGAGATCAAATAATTTAATATTATTCTTAGATATTAATTAGCAACATGGCCCAGCATTGCCCGTGCTTGATTCAAAAATCGTACGACTCATACAGCAATCGCTATCACTTGACTTAAAATATTTTTGCCCTTCCTTGCCTTTAAAGGAGTGCCATTTGCCGTGCTGATGTTGCTACATGCCTTACTTCTTGTCTATCTCACACTGCAAATTTTTTTCTAAGCTCTATATTAAACATTAAATCTGTTACAAAAAAGAACTAAACAAAATGAACACAAAACAATCAGCTTTAAAAAAGGACTCGTAACTGGAAAAACCGAATGAAAAAAGAATGTTAACAACAAATACTTTTTCACACCCAACTCAGTTCTGCGGAATCAGAATCAACGTTAAATTTAAGCAAGCAAATGAGCTAATTGGAGTAAAGTGCCATGCAGATTTAAATTTTTCCCACTTGTGGCGAATGCAGCTATCAATTTTTTTGCATGCTAGCATGCTAGTTTACATTCGTGTCAGTCAGCTGTTGGCTCTCACGCTGGCCAATAGAATCTTCCTGCCTATTCGTGGCAGCCAGCTATATGCTTTCACTCTGGCCAGTAGAAAATGGCCGCAAACTACATGAAAACTGCCATGAAAAAAATCGATTATTTCCACTATCGATGGGAGTTGGGAAATGCAAAGTCGGTCTTGGCCTTCCCGCTAACTTGGAGCATGTGTATGTAAATTTTGGTGCAAATCCGTCAATAATTGCGGTCGTGCACTCGTTACACACACACACACACACACACACACACACACACACACACACACACACACACACACATCCTGCCTTTTATAGATCGAGATAAGAATATGATGTAATGTTGGCACTAGTTTGAACAATATGATTTGCTGATTTTAAATAGAAAGGTGAAAAATATGACTAGTTTTGTAATCTGTTTGAGCCATAGGTTTCATTAACAGAACTGCTTATGGAATCATCCATAAAAGGTGAGTTCTTGCGATAAGAGATACAAATTTAAATATTTTCGGTGGCTACTTTGTCATTCCTATACCCAATAATTTATCCGTTGGAGGTTATTCAACTTTATTTATTAAAAAAACTAAACGTAAAAATAAGATAGTTTACGGTCATGTGGAGGCACGATGGCGTAATGGATAGCGGATATCGTAGGGGCGAGTTCGAATTCCAGTAGAATTCATTACATTCACTTACATGCTAAAACCCTTAGGAAAGGTATGAATCCTCTTCTTCTCCCTCCCAGGTATAAGTAAATAGCACGATAGACCGGGTTCTATAGCCTTGGATGGCAACTGGTCTACCGCAAAAAGAAATGGCAACCTACTGCGGAGAAAAAATCTGCTTAGTCAGTCATGTATCGAAAGATACATGATCGCCTAAGCGTGTATCACACATGGCACATAACTGACTAATTTCTTGTATATATGCCGAGTTCGAATTCCAGTCGAATACATTATATTCACTTACATGCTAATACCCTTGGGAAAGGTATGAATCCTCATCTCCTCCTCCCTCCAGTTATGGGTAAATCGCGAGATAGACGGGGTTCTATAGCCTTGGATGGCAACTGGTCTACCGCAGAAAAATCTGCTTCGTCAGTCATGTATCACGCGTGGCACATAACTGACTGAGGGCCATATCACGTTGAAACACGGCTTATCAACCAAAGGCAAAAAAATATTTTTAGATTGTCAGAATTTTTTAATTAATAATGATTTAGTGATACAAGTTTTACTAATTAACCCATAACTGGGGGAAGAAAAGGTGAATTCATACCTTTCCCAAGGGCATTCGCGCGTAAGTAATTATAACAAACCAAACTAGAATTGGAACTTTAAGTTTAAAATATCGCAGAAATGCATTTTCTAACCCGACTATAGCTGTTTTTTTTTAACCCGACAGTCACCTTGTTGGCAGCCTGATGACAGTTTTAATGTTGTTCTACGGAGACTTTTTCTGCAAGACATTATTGAAGAAAATATCGTGAGCGCCTTTTTTTATATAATTTTTAAGTACTCAAAAAATCTTAAAAATTGACGAAAATATTCTCCATAATCTAATGTTTTATTGAATTTTAGAAAAGTTGGCCTTAAATTCATTATAGTCATCGTTCTTATCTGATACTGAGGTCGTTTAGGAGTATGTTTCATTTATCATACGTAAAAAAAAATATTTTGATTTAAAAAGCGTATTCCTCGCGAGAGACTTTATCCAGATGGAGTTTTTATAAGCGAAAGCACTTACTCGTTATTTTTTCATACATCTCTATCTCAATTCATTCATATCTCTTTATGATAGATAGATAGATAGATAGATAGATAGATAGATAGATAGATAGATAATCAATCATGCAACAAAAGCAACTATCAATAAATAAAGAGCTCACATTCTTAAATGCATATATAATAAAACAAACTCTGTCACACTTCGCTTACGTCGCAACACATTTTGCTTACGTCACGACATTCATTAGTTCTACAATTTTAGCTTTTAAAAACCGCTTTCATCACACACTTGTAACAGCTTATTTTAAAAATTTACTAAACTCACCAACCGTCTCTACCTACCCTGATGATGACTTAAGAAAATCGAAAGCATGAACCATATTTCCTGTACTTTTCAAACGAAATGAACTTCGGACAATTTCTGACGGAATTTCCTCCTTAGCTGAAAAATATTTATTCGTAACTTGGAAGAATTATAATCAAATGACACAAAATTTCTGCCGTTCTTAGTGATATTATTTATTTATCTAAACCTGTTCATAAACCTGTACTTCTTATCTATCTATCTATCTATCTATCTATCTATCTATCTATCTATCTATGTTTTATTCTGTTCATTATCTATCTATCTATCTATTTTGTTCTGTTCATATCTATCTATGTTTTATTCTCTTCATATCTATGTTTTATTATGTTCATTATCTATCTATCTATCTATCTATCTATCTATCTATCTATGTCTTTTTCTTTTTCTTCACTTCTCTTTCCTCTCTCTTTCCTCTTTTTCTGATTTTATTTTTTCCTTTTTCTCTTCACTATTCTTTGAAATAACCCCTTAACATTTTGTAACTTCCCTATTTTCAGTGCACTTGTTTTTTCAACTTCCTTTTTTTTTTTTTCTTTCTTTCTTTCTTTCTTTCTTCTTCTTCCTCTTCTTCTTCTAAATGCTATCTCTATTTCTTTTCGAATGATCACCTTCTCCCTTTATCTTTTCCAATATCTATCTATCTATCTATCTATCTATCTATCTATCTATCTATCTATCTCAGATAGAAAAATACATTTATGTGAAAAATACATATATATATATATAATATATATATATATATATATATATATATATATATATATATTTAAGCATTCAACCACAAGCAAGGCGGGAAGCCGCTAGCACGCAAGAGGTTACAGAGAGTTGGAGCGAGAACAAAGAGGAGTGATAGAGGAAAGGATGAGGAGAAGGTTAGGGGACAGATCACGGCATCTGGAGACGTCGATTGACGTTCATTTGAATAGTTAGAGATTATAACTATCAAGGAAGCAAGAAATGGGGAGGGAGTTCTACAGGTGAGAAGTGCGAGATATGAAGCTATTGGAGTAGAAGACACGGCTACATTTAACAGTTCGACGGAGAAAGAGAGCGAAATGCCAGCCTAGTTGAGCGCTTAAATTTATGAAGTCTGGGAACCAGCTCATCGGAGCAGTTACCGTGAAAGTATTTGTAAAAAAAGACAGAGGGAGGCAACGGCACGTCTGTGAGAGAGCGACTGCAGATGCGATGCCTGATCAGGACCAATTACATTGCATATCAGTCTTTGGATTTTATCAAGGACCTTGAGACAATTAGAAGGGGCTCTAGACCATATATGGCAGCAATACTCCATGCAAGGGCGATTGGTTGATTTTTAGATTTGAAGGATTGACTCCGGCGAAAAATATTTCTTGGCGCGGCACAGGGAGCCGACTTTCCTTGCGGTGGACGAAGCTATTGACTCAATGTATTTGTTCCATCTCAGGTCAGCGGACAATGTGAGACCGAGCAGTCGCAGAGAGGTGCTCTCGTGGAGCTGAGCGTCAGACATTCTAATGCGAAGCAGGGATGGTTCTCTCTGGTGAGTAAAAGAGAGCAGTTTTGTTTTTGAGGCATTAAAGTTAGTCAGCCAATTCCTGCTCCAGTCCACAACCGATTGGAGGTCCTTTTCAAGATAAACAGCCAGATTAGTTTTGTCGGCGACACGAGATTTGTTTTTGAGGCAGGAGTAAATAGTAGCATAGATGCCTACTTGGGAACCTATGACATCAGGAAGATTGTTAATGAAGATAAGGAACAGAGTAAGGCCTAGGATAGAGCCTTGGGGAACACCTGCTTTCGTGGGATAGGAGCTGGAGGAGAATCCATTGAGAACGACCTTCAATTCACGGTTTGACATGAATGATTGTATTAAGTCGAACAATCGACCTGAAATTCCATAACGCTGAATCTTGCGAAGAAGGTCGGCATGTCAAACCCTATCAAACGCTTTGGAGATATCTAGAGCCACGGCACGAGATTCTCCGTTATTATAAAGAGCTTGGTAAACAATTTCAGTTATGGCCGTAAGCACATCAGCTGCTGAACGAGCAAAGCGAAAACCATATTGCTTGTCGGAGAGCAGATTATGGGATGTAAGGTGCATAACCACTTCGGCATTGATTAAAGCTTCAAAGACTTTGCCAAAGAATGGTAGGAGACTGATACGACGTTAATTAGAAGGATCAGAAGGGTCTCCAGAGTTCTTGAAGACAGAAACAACGGCTGAGGACTTCCAACAGGGTGGAAAACAAGATTCATTGAGGCAGTAGTTATATAATTTGGAGAGGCGCAAATTTCTTCAGGATAAAGGTTGGTATCCCATCTCCACCACTAGCCTTGTGGGGTCTAATTTAGAGATGATACCCAGAACCGATGATGGAGTTATGTGCAACTCGCTCAATAGAGCCTCAGTTCTAAGGGGGAAATCGGGTGTGGGTACACCGGAACAGTCGAGCGTTGAATTGAATGAGAATTTCCGAGCAAAGCATTCAGCCTTGTCGTCAGAAGAGATCAGAACCATAATCTGGTTGAACAAAGGACGTATAGAGGATTTGCTATTGTTAAGTATGCTCTTGCATAATCCTTGGAGCCGAATTTGTGAGATGCAAAACGTTTTTTCATTCGAGTAGCAAATAGTGACTTTGCTTCATTGAGGACATGCTTACACTCGTTACAGACAGAAACAAAGTGACATCCATTGCAATCAGACACGAAGCTGGAAGAAGTAATTCCTTTGGGCAACGGAAGCTGAGTAAGCAACGGGGAACCAGAGGGAGGAGTGCGATTTGACCTTATATTTCCTTGAGGGGATGAAAGCCTCGATTCCAGCTTTAACCCAGGAGGAGACCTCGGATGCACATCCTTGAACGGGGATCGTGAAGACAACGTCCCAGGGGACGTCGCGAATGAAATCCCGGAACGAGTCCCAGTCTGTTCATTGATAGCAGGGCGAGGTTCTAGTGGTAGGAGGTCCTTTGCAGGGGGTGGAGTTGAAGGAGATGTTGACAGACACTACAGCGTGATCGGAGTTGCCAAGAGGGCAGAGTTGCGTGGCGCTACGCGACTCGGGGATGGAGGTAAAACATAGATCAAGAAGAGAAGCCTTACCATCCAGATTGTAGGGGAAACGTGTGAGGAAGTCAACTATTTGCGTGAGGGATTGAGAAATTGAAAAATTAAGGGTTTGTATGCCTGCAAGGTCTGTAGTATCGTTATTAAGCCACTTGGTATGATGGACGTTAAAATCGCTAAACACGAATAAGCGAGCAAACGGATAGAGAGAGTGATGCTTGTCAATGCTGTCAGAAATGCATTCGAGTACATGACAGTCTTGGGAGGATGGAGAGCGACAAAAGGAAGAAGAGGTAGCTTAAAGCATTGAGAAGAGATAGCTGCAGACACATATACGAATGGTCTGGAGAGTCAAGAGACAGCTCTCTTGCCAGCGGGAGATGGTCCTTGACGTAAACACCAAGGCTATGCATGTGGGTTTGAGAGTCTTTTCTAAGGAGAGGAAGGTAGCCGGGGATCGAGAGGTCAGAGAAGGGGATAGAAGAGTCAAGGTTGGTTTCACAGAGAGCCAATATATCCGGGCAGTTCGCAACAAGGAAAGATTCCACACTGCAGAAGTTGGTTCTAATGCCACGGATGTTAGAAAATGAAATGTTAAAGGGTTTAGGTGATTTCTTGAGGGCTGCTTTAGGATTTCTTTTGGGATCGTTGTTAGTTTTCATGATGCGTAATTGCGGTAGCCAAAAAAAAAAAAAAAACCTGAAGTAAAAGAAGCAGACGGTTATCGACCGTGAGGTGGGCAGAGAGAAGTTGGCACAGCCTGCAGCATAATGTGGCCTCAGGGTTGCCCATCGGAGATGAATGCAGGGACACCTATCCATGCGCGACATGGCACTACAGACACCCCGGTATTATGCAACAGATGATCAAAGCGGCCGCTCAAGACGCTACGCAAGAGTTAGGGTTCCTAACTACCAGTCGGAAACAGCAACCAGATAACTGTCAACACACAGACTGCACACAACACGGCAGCCTCCAGTACAAAGACCAGAGAGATAGGAAGGGAGAGAACCGGGAATCACTTCCTAAACAAGAAACAAGGTGTGAGTCTCTACACTTGTCCAAGAGAATCGGAAGGAGTATTGACCAGCCGGCAGGGAAGCCTACCTACTCCTATTAAATATAAAAGGAAGAGGTTATATATAGAGAGAAAAGTGTGGATATTAAAAAGAAGTTTTTGGTTGTAGTGTGGATTTCTTTTAAAATATTATGCTTTATTTTCCATAATTTTGCTACACGAGTTTCTGTTCTCGCGACCGTCATCAGGCAAAGTGGGGTGGGTGGAGGGTGAGATTTCCATCCATTATTAAAAATAATTGATTTTTTCTTTTATGTTTTTCGATGTTAGATATTCTCGATATGAGAGATTCTCTTTTTCTGTGTTAGTGACCAAAATGTATTTCTTGAACTGGCAGTGAAGAGTTCTGCGTGAAGGGTTATAAAAGAATTAAAATTGGTCAGGAGAAATGGAGTAATTATCGGTATTATCTTATTTTTATATATATATATATATATATATATATATATATATATATATATATATATATTCATACGCGTTTCATTAAATAATATAGAAAAGCGTTGTCTATTTATTTTATGTAAATTTTTTTCGTAACGTCTGATAAGTTTAATAGCATTATCGTTGAACGAAGAAAGAAATTCACAATAGTGATCCATATTTTATTTTTATTTTTTATTTTTTTTAATACAATCTAAGCTTTCGGCTTACATAAGCCATTATCAAAGATGTCAATTACAACATATTAAGCAATATACGGACAAGACAGTGATGATAGTCTGTCATTGTTTACATAGATGATTTCTAAGCAACGGTAAACACGTGCATATAAGACGCTAGAAGCGAAAATCGCACCGCATCTCATGACGTCACACATGACCACACGAGAATGAATTGGAGAAGTATGAAGTATGGAAAGCCGTTGGTATAAGCCAATGGCTTCTGTTACCAATTATAGACATTTAAGAATATTTGTAGAGATACCATAATTGATTTTGTTTAGGTTGGGTTTCAACTGTTTGATGTATAATGCTTCAAGGATTTTTAGTTTTTGTCTATTGTTTTCATGTCGAAGTATAATTGAGTTTTCGACAAGTATTTTACGGAATTGTGTGTGCGGGCAGTCATGTTGTTTTAAATGCCTAAAAATGTTAGAGTTTTTATTAAAATGTAGTGTCAAGCGTCGTGAAAGCGAGTTTGTGGTGTGACCAACACACACACACACACACACACACACACACACACACACACATATATATATATATATATATATATATATATATATATATATATATATATGAGCGCGTGGACGAATGGGTAGACCATTTGATTTCCGACTATAAGAATACCCCCCAGGGTATATTTGCGAGGGAGGTGACTTCTTGATAATATCGACAGGGGAGGCCATCTCAGAAAACCATACGACTAGTTGATCCTAGCCTTGAGATTATAATTAAGTAGAATCGTTCGGAAGCGTTCGGAAGCGTTCGGAAGCTGTCGATGGTTGTACGAACATGAAGTCACAAGTCAACGTAACGGAGAATTTAAGCGTTCTTGGTTTACTCAAAAAAAAAAAAAATGATCACAACATTCTGCGTTCTCTCCGAGAAACTTTATTTTAGATCCGCTTGGTTTAACTTAAGCATGTTCACTGTTTTCGCGGGAAAACAGCATATAGCGTAATGGAAATGCCAGAAACTTAACTAAAATAAAGTTTTATCGTCAAAATGCTTATGTTATTATTAAGATGAAAGACCAAAGTATTTTTTAATTATTTTTTGAAATTTTTTGATCCTCTCGTTAATAATTGGTTGTATATTATTTTTTTATGCTATAAGTAAGAAAGATTTATTTCAAATCAGATTACTTTAACTTTAAATATTTTAATTTTCCTAAAATAACTTGTCAGAAATTTTTTAAATATTTTCAAAATCGATGAATTTGTGTTTGTTTACAAATTTCTTAAAATGAAGAAAATGGCCGATATTAAGAAAATTTAAATTTAAATTTGACAATGAAATGTATATAGTTTCTATCTGAAATATAGCAGAATTGTTTAATTAATGGAAATCATAAATTTAATGATTAAACTTTCTTTTAAAGCTAAAACAAAATCTTCAAGAATGTTTTTTCGTTGTAAAAAATTCATTTTAAACTTAAATATAGAAAATTTATGCCGAAATAGTGGAGATACTTAGTTTAATTGCAGTATAAATCGTAGGTGTACTCTGTGGGTTGAGCAGGTGAGTGTAATAGGGTTTGGCTAGCCGCCCAGGTAGCTGGATGTGCCTAGAAACGAGTAGCAGCCGGCTATATATAATGTATATTTGGTCAACAACTCTTCTTTTAGACATGTTCCGTTGAATATGAGAGACAAAGAAAATGTAATTAATTTTTTATTTAGATCTTCCACCATTCTTACATTTGCCCGTTTGCCTGGAGTAAAGTAGTGCAAAAAATATGCGTATTTTCGATTTATCCAATCGCTTTCGGCCACTTCTTTAGCCATTTTCATTCATATATATATATATATATATATATATATATATATATATATATATATATATATATATATATATATATAGAGAGAGAGAGAGAGTGCGATAAAAGACACGTTAAATAAGAATGTTATTATTTAGCGTTTCAACGAAAATTGAAAAAAAAAAAAAAAAAAAAAAAACGCCAGCCATTTGCTGAAACCTCCTGAAGAGTTGAGTGGACAATTACGCAAAAGTTCATCTACGAAACTCGAGTGTTGTAGAGCTGAATATAAAATCAATCACCTTGGGGGCAAATTTTCTTTGTATTAATCATATATATATATATATATATATATATATATATTAGATAGGAAAAGACAATATTTATAAGGCATTTTTAAAAGCAAAAGCTAAAATAAAAACAACCGGTTTCGTCCCAGGACTTATCAAGTTTATTTATTCTGGGAATTTAAAAAGCGTGTAAATTAATTTTAAATTAACGAATGTAATCGAACGGGAAAAAAAATGGATTTCAAGAAACTAGAGTCCAATAATATTCAGACCCAGTTTTGGTTCTGCTATTGCTGAACATTTAATAAATAGAAGAAAATGTGTGGAAAATTTTAGTGGTGACCGATTTATAATTTTATCTAGGTCTTTTCCTATCTATTATTAAATTCTGTACCACAAAAAACTTAACTAGTATTTGAGACTTTTATATATATGTGTGTTTCATTGAAGATGGCTGACAAGGCACTACGATTTAGCTTTTGTGTGTTATTTTTTTACCGTTGTACAAGAGATTTCATTTTGGGGCATAGAGTGTGTACGAACAGTCCAAATGATCTTTGGATACGAGTGCTTTCGTTTAATGTGTAAACCATTATCAAGGATATTTTGTTTTGTAGATTCCCTTTTAACAATAGCAATGTTTTAATTCCTGAACACAGTCAGCACATTGTGACCGTGTTCGTAATTAATGTTATGAAGATTTGGTTAATTTTTATTATTAAAGCTTCCATTATTTTTAGGCGGCTTCTGCAGTTAGCTGAATGCATTGTTTTATTCGATTAGTTAACACATAGGGATTGGTAGATCATTGTCTCTATTTAAATGTGTCCTAATCGGCCTATGATACGAGAAGTGCAAAGTAAATATTCTCGATAAGCATGTAGTTGTAAGATCAATGTAATTATTTGTTGTAACCTAGCGAAGGTTACTGAATAGAATAATCACACGAAGGTTGGCAATGAACGATAATACTTAGGACAAGAACAACACATATAAGATTCGCCAGTGGCGCGTAGAAGTAATAGTCAATATCTACCAATTGCCCCACGCGATCAGATGTGGCGCAAAGCCGAAATTAATGTGGGGTATCCAAGCCCGTAGGCTCGGCCAAAAATTCTCCGTTGACCTCTTATAAAATGAGGTCGCGTAGCTGTTTCCCGAGAGGAGACTTTGCTCTTCGACATAGTATCATTTGGGGTTAATTTCTGTCTGGGGGTAGAGAGTTTGACCAGCACAGCTGGTCAAATGCTACGAATGCAAGAATAATATAATAAAACGTTCAATCGTAGTATCAGGTCAGCCATATTCAATGAAACTTGTATAAAAGAGGGATTACTGTCCAAATGCAATATATCATAATTAAGTAATTCATAGTCTAGAAGAAACCTCAACAGAATGCACTGGACGTTCGTTTCGTCCTATATTTGGGACTCATCAGCAATGCGCGTCTACTACCGAGAATTGAACCAGGGCCATTAAGATACGTCGCAAGCGTCATACCAACTGTACCAACGGGCCTCGGCGACGATGAGGTAACGTATTATACAGCGCCTGCTCTTCACAAATTCCGTAATGTAATTCATCCGTGTTTCCCTTACCCATAGGACTGTGCCCCCCACGAGCTACAACCACTATCCCCAAGCCGCTCCACCCAGAGCATTAGAAGTCGGTTCAAGCAAGGATATACAAGTGATAGAAAATTATTAGGAGGATTTGAGATAATCATAATTAAGTAATTAATCGAGTCAGAATGCGGTGTTTACTCATTCCCCTACGAGAATGAGATGTGACACAAGGTCGGATTAATGTGGGGACCCGAGCGCGTGCACCCGGGCAGGGACAAAAATTCCCCCACAGCACCCGCAACCGTCGTTGGCCTCGGTGCGAGCACCTATCCCTCCCTCTGGTGCTATGGGAGGGCGCAGCCTCGGGCAGCTGCTCCCCAGGGCTGGGCACCTCTTCAGTATAATTTTCCTCAGTCGCCCCTCTGTCCTCAGACAGAGAAGCCCCTGAGCGCACTCTGTCCAAGGACAGAGACGCAACTGAGAGATGATAAGAAAATGCGAAATCCCTCCAAGGAGGAATTTGCACGCTACCTTAACAGAATGCAGGAAGCACTGGACGGCCGTTTCATATATATAGGGAGTATGTATGTGTGTGTGTGTGTGTGTGTGTGTGTGTGAGAGAGAGAGAGAGAGAGAGAGAGAGAGAGAAAGAAAGAAAGACAGAGAGAGTGTTTTTAATTAATGCGACCATTTTATTCCATCGGAATATGTAACAGATACAGGTAGCACTGTTGAAGAGAGGAGGTCTTACTGTTATGGGATCTTACCCATAATAATAATAATGGACTATTCCATACTTAATAAATACTGCGCCTCAGGAGTAGGCAAGAAATCAGGTCGGAGATCCCACGTTAAACCGGCCTTGTGCCACATGATGCCCTCGTCGCGGGGGGGGGGTGACTGAATATCGTCAGTTAGTAGTTCGAGTCAGTCAGTAGTTCAAGTCGAGTCAAGAGTCGAGTCAGAGGCAGTCCGAAACAGAGTCGCTTTCAGACAATTACTGCAAGACATTGGAATAGTGGTACTGGTCGAGACTACATTGTTCTCTCTACTAAACCTGATTGTTCGTACTAACACTTTCTACTTCTCTGTATATATTCCTGTTTGTAATATATCTGTGTTATTCCATACCTGATTTCGAGTTCTTCTTTATTGGTTCTACCTTAGACTATCACCGTGGAACCAGACCATAACACTATCTATCTCGGTCAATGCATATCTATCTATCTATCTATCTATCTATCTATCTATCTATCTATCTATCTATCTATTATGGAACCTTACCCATAATAATAATAATGGACTATTCCATACTTACTAAATACTGCGCCTCAGGAGTAGGCAAGGAGTCAGTCAGTAGTTCACTTCTGAACCGGCTGATCGGTTGAAGTCTCTGCCTTCGGGCGGGGAGGAACCCGAAGCAGGCTACGCCGAAGGGCGGATTCTCTTTCGGGGAGGTAAACCGACCCCTGAACCCGTTTATACGGGTTCAAAGGGCATATTTTTGGCCTAGCCCACGGGCTCGGAGATCCCACGTTAAACCGGCCTTGTGCCACATGATGCCCTCGTGACGGGGTGACTAAATACTGTTCCGTCTGAAGTCTCTAGTTCCATCTGAAGTCTGGAGTGAGGTCCGTCAGGAGTCTGTCAGTCAGAGCGCGCGAGTCAGTCAGTCGAGTCAGAGGCAGACCGAAACAGAGTGACGTTCAGACAATTACTACTAAACCTGATTGTTCGTACTAACACTTTCTACTTCTCTGTATATATTCCTGTTTGTAATATATCTGTGTTATTCCATACCTGTGTTCGAGTTCTTCTTTATTGGTTCTACCTTGGACTATCACCGTGGTACAAGGAACCGGACCATAATAATTACCAATCCCGTTTTTCAAACTACTCGTCACCATTGGCTACGCATTTTCGCCAGTAATTAACATGAGTCTGCATATCGTGCTTGTAAAAGAAGAAAACAAAAAAAACTATGCCAATGGAAATTACGCACTTTTCCTAACAGTGATAACGACGTCGTTATCAAAGAACGCATTCCACGAAATTAATCTCGATGAATAATCTCGAGTGCATTAGTCATTAATCTTAAAAATTTAGGAAAATAGTCTCTGTAATCTAATGTTTTTATTGAATTTTAGATACTTTCGCTTTAAATATTCTAGAGTTGTCGCTCTTATTTTCTGATAATGTCGTGTATGAACTTCCGTATCTACAAAATTCAAAATTCTTTTTAAAATACACCAGGTCCGTAGATTGTAATAAACTTAACGATTTATGATTAGCAAATATAGTTTTAATAATAATATTCCTTAGCCTTTACACTATTGAAACTGAATCTTAAAATATTTAAAAATTTTATAAATTATTCTAATTAAAATTTTAAAAAAATGAAAACAAATCTTGTAAAAATTAATTATGTATCGAAAACAAATTTAAGACAATAGTATCCTTAATATATATCATGCATAAAAACATTTCTAATTAAATTATGTCTTAGTTTTTAGTGCGTTTTTTATTTTACGATTCAGAATAGATTTTCGGTAAGATGGAATCCGATTTTACTCAAGTTTACGGCATTTTTCATTATGAAGTCAGCGAATTAGTGGAGGTACGTAAATTATATATGTATATATACAGACAATCCTTTCATCTACGCGACCCCCACCCCAGCCATCAATGGAATTCGGATGCAACGGACAAAATCTGCAGGCAAAATTAAAAAAAAAAATTAAAAAATCTACAGGAAAAAAAAGAAAAAAAATTCCAAATCGTCAGCGATGTATTTCATAATTTTCGGGCTTAGCGGAACGAGTCGTATTAGTTCTCAAAGTGACAACTTGGCGGCAGCGGCGGGCCTTCCAGTGTAAACAAAGACGGAAAGTACGATACATTAGCGCGTGCGTGAGAAATCTATTTTGTTATTTTGATTAATATATCTATATTAAGTATATATTTATTTATGCCATATATATCTATGTTTATAGTATTTACATTATGGTCATAACTACTGGTAGTTACTGTTGGGGCCACCCACCTTCTCATCAGAATGGACTGATCTCTCTACTACTAATAGGACAGTTCTCTAGAGTTCTGGGAATATCAGGTGACCATCACACTTCCGTCCCTCTACCGGAAGATACAGTTGGACTTTATACTCTTTCTGATTGTTACTGACTAACCTGCGTTCGTTTGACTACTAATCTCTCTGTTGTAAATACCTCTTCAGATATACCAGTATTTTTCCATGCGTACGTGTTTGTCCTTATTTCAATACACGCACGGGGAAACACTCAACATCTCAACAGTTACTATAGTCGTTTTTATAACTCAAAAATAATCCCTTCCCATTTACGGACAATAGACTTTAATGGGCCACTCCTCTCTCCTATTAGTCTGTTTATAAGAGATGTACGTGTGTGAGTAGCGAGAGAAAGAAAGGGAGAGAAAGAAACAGAGAGAGGAAATAGGTTTCGATACCACACAGTGACTATCGAATTTCACCATTCAAGCGATGTTCTGGCCATTTTGAGCACTCAAATATTGTACATTCTTAACACATAAATACAGCAAATTTCAAATTATGTATATCTATCTATCTATCTATCTATCTGTCTATAAAGAGAGATAGGCACAAACACAGACACACACGTACACACATATATATGTATGATCACCACCTCCCTCTCGAGTATAAGCATTGCAAGCGATGTCGGAACACAGTTGTGCTTTGAACGGATACGGCTTTTTAAACCGGACAAACTTATAAATCCTCTGGCATAAGGTCGAAAGACATGCAACACATAAATTTTGTTACAGTCCACAAGCTGACTTCAAAGCTTGTCCACAAAGCGGACATAAATTGTCATTATGCAATTTATATATATATATATATATATTAAAGACATTTTTATGTTTAACGTTCTTTTTATAGATACAAGTATTTAAGTAAATGCACTGTTTATAATAAACAGTATTAAATAACATTTACCGGCCTGAATGTCCGAGAAATTTTCATAGAAAATATTCGTCCTTTGACAGGATTCGAACCTGCATCCTATACGGAACCATCATTTACGCTGACGTGCCTTGACCGCTCGGCCACAAAGGATCGTTCGGTTGGCATGATTGAATTTACTGCTTATAAACTTCAATCTTCCAGGAATCTCGTACATTCATAACTGCTCATGGCGTACCAAATGTAAACAAATGACGTCATATATAAAGAAATGGACAATGTCTGACAATTTATTTATTAAAGACATTTTTATGTTTAACGTTCTTTTTATAGATACAACAGAACTTATATATAGTTGCCATAAAAATGTCTTTAATAAATAAATTGCCGGACTTTGTCCATTTCTTAATATATATATATATATATATATATATATATATATATA